ATAAGATATTGAAGCTCCATAATAAGTTCATACATCTACATCATCCCAAATCACTCAAATTCTAGTAGTGGGAACCTCTCTAAGATACAGAATGAGTTTTTAGGAAAGAGTAACACACTCTTTGATATTTTATCGGCAAAATTTGAAAAAAATTATATCAGGATTGTTTTGGTTACATCCCCTGATATGGATGACACAGATGACATATTTTTAGGTGATGTTCATACACCAAGGTCTATAGTTAGTGACCAGGCTGAAGCAATTTTGAATCTGCTAGAATACTTTGACAGATAATTATTTGCTGTTTTGTGACACTATGGCATTTCGAATACACTCTGTATTGTGTCATAGCGTCAAATCAAACAGCAAATACTTGATCAAAGTATTCTAGCAGATTCAAAATTACGAATACTAGAATACACTCTGGAGCCATTGTTATCCTTAACTCCATTTCTAATATTCTACTTATATGGTTTCTTTGTAAAATACATATGCAAGAAATAAACATCTTACACTTTATGGAGTCTTTGACAGGAGAGAAAAAGAAGGATCCAAGACAAGAGCTGTTTGTCAAACTCCAGAAAAATGGGTGTTTTGTCAAAAAGGGAGTAGACAAGATAATAGACTTAGTTATATTTGATTGGAGTCAGCTCCAGGCTGAGTTGTCTTTTTATGAAATTGATAAGAAACTCTGGAGTTTGAAAAAGAGGCCTTTGCTTCAAAAACTTTTGTATGGAGTGACTGCAGGAAATTATGCAAGCTTTTGTTTACTATTTGAGAGGAGAACCAGTAATGTCTTTTTATCAACCTGGAACCTGCCATGAAGTTAGGTACAGTATATTGAAAAAATATTTAAGGTAAATATAACAAATAACATATAAATACAGAAATATAATAAATAAATATTAGGAGTGAAAAAATCTACACTTTAAGGTTTACGTCTAATGCTTTATACATTCTTACCTTGGCAATATTGAATAAGATCACCATGACTATGAGCGAAGTGGAAAAATAGGTAATAGAAACAGCAGCCTTCCTTACATCTGTCTGGTATGCAGCTTGGTTTTAAAATTCGTTTTTTGTTGCAAATTCACTCTAAAATGATCTTTCCACTTTCAAGAATCTTTGGTTCGGTATTGGTTGCTAGTATTCAAAAATATAAGTGGTACTTAACTGAGAAGTTGGTGCTGCTAACTCTGGCTAATGCAGATGTAGAGCAGAAAGTGAAGAAAAGGATGTTGGAGAGATTAGTTAATTATGACTTTCCTGACAAGTTTAAGATTGAAAAACCTAAGCAACCAATCATATCAAAGTCCATGGAGCATTGGGAACTGCTAGGTCCAGAAAGTTGGCTCTTCTTAAAAATTGCAGACGTCCCTGATAATGAAGTAGAGCTGTGGAGAAAAGAGAAAGCCCTGAACTTGTTAGATTTATTTGAAAAGTTTGTTAAAAGTTTGACTTGCGTCAACAATTTTGCAGAGAGAAACATATGCCTTATTCAGGATTTTTCAAACTTAACGCTAGTGGCTAGGCACAAAAGAAAAGCGATTAAAAAAGATCTTTTCTAGTTTTAGTTAAAAAATATTTAATTAATTATTTCTAAAACACATATTTTTTGACATATTTTATACTTTTAATAAGCAAATGTCTGAAATTTCGGAAAAAATGCATATATATATATATATATATATATATATATATATATATATATATATATATATATATACATATATATATATATATATATATATATATATATATATATATATGCATGTGATTTTAATGTATCTGTTGTTTTTTGATTCACTTATATACTTAATGGTATAAGGGAATCTATCAATTATTGTAAAATATATGATATATATAGCATCTTTTTATATGATTTACATATTATTTATATTATCTTTTTATCATATGGTCACGGGTATTTGTCTTAAGCATATTGGGTTTTCCTTAAAATGTGATATTGAACAAATAACATTTGTGCAATATTTTAGAACAACTATTTTACAATTGCAAGCATTAGAAAATGATTTTTGTTGGTATTTAGCTTGAAACTTTTTAAATTTTCATCAACATGATTCATTCAATGCTCGAAACTTAAAAGCCTTAAAAAATATAAAAGAAAAATGTTGTGACTTTCACAGCGGGTGGTTTTAATACACGACTTTTTAATAGGGGATAAAGGAACGAAATGGCGGTTTTGTTTAATTAATTATAAGACGTTTTTCGCTGTTTCAGATTTTGTAAACGACTTTATTAGACAAATATTATATGTTTTTTGTTGAAATAACTAGTATTACAAAAATATTAACACTATAAAGTGGTACTGTTTTTTGGTATTTATTTTACAACAATAATAATATAATAAAAAGGAGATAGAACTTAAATAAATTAATATGGAATAATACTTTTTGTTTGTCCAATCTTCTTAATTTTTAAATATCGAACAAACAGATACATTGTTTATGAAGATTGGAGTTCAGAATAAGATAGTAGTTCCACTCATTAACTTAAGTTAGCCTATCATTTCAGTAAAACAGAATAGTATTCATAAAAATTAATGCAAAAAGTGGTAAGTTGGATTTAAGCAGAATAAAGAACCAACAACTTCAGATATATAAAAATACAAATAATATAAAACAACACTGGATATTGTTAACAATCTAAATCGTCAAGAAACTGCTGCTATCATTTATATCATTTTAAAAAAATCTCCAACTTAAAGAATAATTTTATAGTATCTTATGCTAATATGATAGATAAAAAAATGTTATTTCTCTATTGATTTATGTTATTTTCTTCACTATAAAACAATAAACCATGAAATAAAAGACTTAAAAAAGCTAATGCAGAAGTACAATTGAAAAATAAAATATAATTCTTCATATAAAAGTAAATGTTCTCAAAAATTTAAAAATCAATTATTCCCAGTAAGCACAAGACGCATTTTAGACACTTATAGACGTCTAAAACTAGTCTAGGTAAAGACGCACTTTTATAGACGTTTTGAAGACATCTTTTAGACGTCTTTTATGAATGCGTTTTTAAAATGACGTTTAAAAGGCGTCTTTTTAAAAGATAAAAAGACGTCTAGAAGACGTCAATTTTTAAGACATCTTATAGACGTCTTTTATTTTTAAAATATAAATAGTCTAAAAGACGCATTAAAAGACGTCTAGATCAAGGCTAAAAGACGTCTATTCTGAGACCTGTTTATAAATATGTCACTATGACTTCTTTTTGACGGCTTTGTCATTACGCGTTAAGTAGATGTCGTATATTCAAAGTAAAAACATAGTTTTCATTATTTTCAATAATTTGTTTAAGTTTTAAGTGTAAATTACTTTAAATTAAATTACTTTTTTACACAATTGCTAAAATTGTTGTCACAGGAATCACTAAAATAATTGCTATAATATTAATATATCTTTTTTTTATTAATAATTATTTTGCTTTTTTAATAGATAGTTGACTGATCATGATAATAAGTGAAAATGGCAAGAATAATATATAAGTTAAGTATCACTATTTTTTGTTTTTATACACCCACAAGCCATATAATAATTCAAGAATGCGGTCAAAAATTAGCTATCAATACGTATATTAAGTTTTATAATAACTAAAGGTAAGTTATAAATGATTAAATACTGTTTGATATATAACTGTTATTGATATTTATTATTTTCATCTTTGCAGCATCAACCGTTGGTGGTGATAGCTATATTATTTAGATTGCTGGTTCCTATGTATATTTTGTATATACGAAATTATAACAATATTTGATTTTATAAATACAATGAATATATACCACATACTACGCGAAAATGTTACGTCATGTACTTAAATTTATCTTAAAAAAAACGTCTAAAATACGTCTAAAACGCGTTTTTATAAAGACGTCTTCATTTAGACGTCTTTTAGCCTTATGATCTAGACGTCTACAAGTGCGCCTTTTAGACCTCCTTAAAGACATCTTTAAAACGTCTTTTAAACGTCTTTGTGCTTACTGGGTTATTACAAAGTTATCAATACCTAATACACTTTGTCAAATTATAAAAATATTAAAAAAAAAAATTAAATGGAGTTTTCTACTTTAATTTTATTTAAAACATATTTATATATTGTTATTTAACAATTTATAAGAACTTTTCAAATTAGTTTGAAAAAGATTTTTAAATACAATTTAAAACTATAATAGAAAAAAAATATTTTGCGTTAAATCTATATGTATTGGTTTAATTTAAATTTAAAGGTATTATTCTATGTAATTAAAAATCTCAATGAGAAATAGGAAAAAGAAGGCTATAGAATAGGAGGTAGTAACTAAAGTTTCAATTAAAATTTGAACTTGAAACTTAAATAAACGAACTTGTTTCTTCGCGCAATGGCCTTGTTTATAAAAAATTGTGTTTAGGAGTTAAAGAGTTGAAAGAGGATTGTATCCAGGTAGCCTCCTCGACTGTAGTGGCTTTCTCTGGCCACTAATACTCATTAAAATTCACCTAGGTAGGTGAATAAAATAAAAGATTAAAAAATCTTAACTCATAAAAATATTTTAATAAAAATTGTTATAATGTATTTCCAAGTAATGATTCAAATATTAGTCTGATAGCTGTTATTGTTGGTTATAATAGTTAATAATAATTTAGTTAATTTAATAATTAAAAATTATGTTAGTTAATAATATTATAGTTAATAATGTTAAAGTTATAACAGTTCATAAACTTATTAAATATCTTTAAAAAACTCAATAACACTCAGATTTACCCGGGTTTTATTGGGTTTTTTTAGGCTGTTTTTTTTAGGCGGGTTTTTTGAAGCAGTTTTTTATAATGCCAAACCTGCGCCACACTGACCTAAATAACTAAAGGGACTAAAAAGTTCTCAAAGGTAAAAAACAATTTTAAAAGATATTGTTTACTATGTAATAAATTTAAAGTAACTTGAATAAGGGAACTAAACAATTATAACAAATTTTCTTCCTCGGAAGAAAAATTGTTATAATTGTTTTTAGATTTGTTATAATAGTTTATTCCTTCTTCCTCGCTTTCCTCGGAGGTCATTGTCAAGGCAATCTGTTTCTAGTTTTTGTAAATGTTCCATTTATGAAACAGGAAGCCCAAACTCATCAAACCTTGTTTCTATATTACCACGCTGCTGTTGTGCTGATAATTGTTGCAGAAGAAAAATTATAGTTTGATTATTTTGTTTAATCTCTTCTAATAATATTAGTTTTCGATAATCATTTCCTAAATGGGAAGAAAAATACAATAAATATGTATATTTTAAATACACATAATAATAAATTAATAAAAATAATAGTAATAATAGTAAGAAAATATTTTCTATATATATATTAAGTTCATATGAACAAACAAACAAATTCATCATTTGCAGCTCTACTTGCAGTGCTATAGTAAGCATTGGCGTTAAGATTAATGATGGTAGTGTAGTTTGGTTGTCTATTTAAATATTTAAGCTTATTTTTACAAGCACACATATATAAACAGACAGTTTGCAAACCATAATTTAAACTTTAAAAATTGTAAAACTTTCAAGTTAAAAACAAAAGTGTTAACCAACCTTTTTTACTAAAAGATAAACCGTTTAAAAATAATGACGAGAGAGAGCAGATAGTAGATGATGCATTTTGAAGAGGCCCATTTTGAATTTCTATGCACAAATAATGCATTATAATCATATTTGTAACATCAAATTTTTTTTAAAAAAAAATATAGTATAATAGAAAAACATATTTTATTTTTATAAATGTCATTAATTGCCAATTATAATCATTAATGTTAAGAATGTTGATGGATCATTAATGATCTGTAAAATATTTATTAAAATGTAAAAATCTAACCGGATTGCAACTGTAGGAAACTTCAGGTTTGAGGTTGAAATTGATACGGAAAACTACTTTCCATTTTCAGATTTTATATAATCGGAATCTGAATCACGCATTTCAATCCATAAAACTGGTAATGACCTAAATTAGTTTTTAACCCTTTTTATTTCAGAGACTACTGTTGTGATATAGGGTTATTATGTTTTGTTATTTATTTTATCTATTGATAAAATAAATTTGTATATTAAAAATAGATAATTTTTATATTACCAATAGATAAAATGAACACCATAACATAGAATATTGTTACACATAGCATAATTTTAAACATCAATTAACTGAAATAATCAAATAAATTGAAGTTTAAATAAAAAAATTAACTTTTTTGCTTTCCTTTTTTTTTGCGTCAATATCTGATTCTATTGGAAGTTCTGAGCAGTCCTCTGCAATATCCAACTTGGAATTAGCAATTTCACATTCGATAGTGCTTTTAAGATAATAAAAATTAAAACTGAATTTATTTGAACAAATAAGCTAAGTTTAAAACCATTAAACGTAAAATAAGCTTACTGTAAGAATGCAGCACTCTAACAAAAAACTGTTTCCAAATAGATTTGGGAGGTTCAGCAGATTTTACCGCTTTATTGATTTTAAGGTCAGAAGTATACCACAGCCATAAAAAAATGCGCTTTTCATCTTCATAATGCAGCAAGTTAATTACTATTATTATTATTATTATTATTATTATTATTATTATTATTATTATTATTATTATTATTATTATATTATTATTAATATTATTATTGAGCGTAATTAGTGACACAAAAGTTAACTTAGTTTTGCTCGTAATATAATCTTTTTCATTAAACCATATAAATTTATTTTGTTAAATTAAATATTCTAGTTTTATTAAAAAAAAAACTATCCAAAAAAAATGTTAAACAGCCAAGAAAGAGCAGCTCTTCAAAAAAGCGTCAAAAATTTTTTTGTAAAAAACCCAAAAGCGACCAAAGCCGAAGCCGCTAACCATTTCATTAAAGAAGGAATCGCTCGCAAAACAGCATATAGATATATCAATCGACAGCTTGATGGACAATGTTTAAAAATAAAAATAAAAAATTCTGGTCGCCCGTCATCGTGGACTCAAGAAAAAAAAGCGAAACTTAAAAGGTTGACTAACAATCGAAAAGGTGTAAGTCAAAGAAAGCTCGCACGTAAATTCAACGTAAATCAAGCAACAATTTGTAGATAATTAGCCAAAATGGACATAAAATGTCGGAAACGCGAAAAAACACCGAAATACAGTGATGAACAACGTCTAAGGGCACAAAAAGAAGTCGAAAACTCGTCAATCATCTCTACAAAGAAAAAAGCGTTTTAATTTTGGACGACGAAAATTACTTTTGTTTTGCTGGCGATGAAATGCCTGGAAACGCCGGTTATTACACGAACGACAAAGAAAAATGTCCAGAAAATGTTCGTTTTGTGGGAAAAGAGAAATTTCCGAAAAAAATTCTCGTTTGGATTGCATTATCTGAGCGTGGAATGTCGAAACCACTCTTCCGGTCGTCAACCTTGGCTGCAATAAAATCCGAAATTTATATCAAAGAATGCTTAGAGGAACGATTGTTTCCATTCATAGATAAGTATCATGATGATTTAAATTACATATTTTGGCCGGATTTAGCTAGTGCCCATAGACCTAAAGAGGCAATATCGTGGATGAATGAAATGATTAACTTCGTGCCGGTCGATATGAACCCTCCTAATGTCCCCAAAGCCAGGCCAGTCGAAGACTTTTGGGGAGTATTGGCTCAGAATGTGTATGAGGGTGGATGGGAGGCCAAAAGTGAACAACAATTGATTCGGCGTATCGAAGCCTGTCTGAAAAAAATTGATTTGACATTTTTACAATCCCATATGAAGGGTATCAAAACTAAATTGAGATTAATAGCCGATCAAGGCGTTCAATCGATTTACAAAAAATAATTTTTAAAAAATAAATATTGTGTTATTATTTTTTAAAACTGAAAAAAAAATTTCTTTTATTTCTTTAAAGATATAAGGCTTTGATTTTTGTGTCACTAGTTATGCATCACCCGTTATATATATATATATATATATATATATATATATATATATATATATATATATATATATATATATATATATATATATATATATATATATATATATATATATATATATATATATATATATATATATATATATAAAGAGAGAGAGAGAGAGAGAGAGAGAGAGAATATTTTTAACAAACATTTTTTATGAAATTTTTACAAGCAGTTTCTGTTTACCGTAAAATAATCTTGAACATATATTTCTAGGTACGCTTAATAATTGTCATGGTAAAAACGTAGACAGTTGTAAAGGTAAATATATTTTTATTTATTTAGTTTTTGCTACTTGAACTATAAAAGGCTAAATCTTTTTTTTTAACTGTACCTTTTAAGTCATTTAAATTGCTTTTCTTATTGACATTCGAACTTTTAAATTTAATAGTTTGAATTTAAATATCCAAAATTATAGTTATGCGTTATCAATTTGTTTTAAATATCATACTTTTTATAAAAGAAAGAAAAATGAACCACTTCTAATTTACGACTTTTAATTAACGAAAATTTTAACGACTCTTTAAGTAACGTTAAAACTTCAACTTAAAACTAATATACAAACATGTTGTTTAATAAACCAAGATTTAAGTTTGATTTTTAAAAGAAGGTTTTCAGTCAATGTTTTTAGCAATGATATCGTTTAATAACAAATAACCATTATTAATCGACTTTAACCTTTCATTTTTATTATCATTTATAACATCAAGTAAGAAATCAATGAATGGTAATAAGCTCAGCGAATTGCGATATTTATTATCATAGCTGACACTTTTGTGAACTTCGTCTTACAGTTCTTGAACGTCCAGCACGAACGTTTAAGTAACAAACAGCGAAGTTTACTTTAATTTTCCTGCAATTTTTTTTTGACTTTAACCTTAAACAGGCAAAAAGCGAGCTGGAAAATTTACCCAACGTTTTTCCTCTATAAATTTTTTAACTAATTATATCGGTTTAAACGAAAAACCTACATTTGCTAGTTTTAATGAAAATTAATCTTTTTTGATTTTATCTTTAATATAATCCTTATTTATTATAGTATAAGTCTATAATATTTTTTTTTATTGCTTATAAAATAATTGTATAGCAAAAAATTTTCTAGTTGTTTAAAGAACTAAGGAGATCTTAGGCCATTAACAATTATAGACTATAAAACGCTTAGGGGTCGCTTATAAATTACGGAACGCTAAATTTATTCTTTAAAAAGAAAAAGGAGATCTTCAGTTCTTTTAGGTGGCGGTTTTCATTAAGCTTGATGACCTATTTTGATTTTTTATTTAACATACAACTCTGCGAGAGAAAATATTGGTCTTCTTTGTTTTATTCATATGTTTTTTATTCAAATTAAGCGTTGTGTAATTTATGGACGATCCCTTATTTAAAAGTTTAGATTAATTATCTGCCAAAAAGCGAACATATAATAGAGTACTTTAATCTAAATTCTGACGTTGTTGCGCACTCAGTTTAGAATGATTAACGGGGGCGTTGTAAAACAGCTGTAAAACTCTAAATTTGTTTATTGTATCAATATTATATAACTTTACCTTTTAATTATTTTTAATAGTATTTAATTCAATATAATGGTTTAATTTAAATATAAAATTAGAGTTTTCAATTATGTACTTATGTAATACATACTTTATAAACCCCTTTAATGTTGTAAAAAAATTGAGGTAGCCGCGTGGCAAGTTCATATACAAGTACATAAGTTTATAACTTATGTACTTATATATGAACTTATTTTAATTTATTGTTATATAAAAATTTAAAAAATCAAAATAAAACAACTTTACAGTTCTATAGACTTTATATTCTATATATAAACATGTTTTATATTCATTTTTTTATACACAAACTCAACTTAGATATAAAAAAACTTGAAATGTAAAATAAAAATAACATAAGTATTTTAATTATTATACATACGCAACAAACAATCCCCCGCTTGTTAATGTTTTTAGAAGTTTTAGCGTTTTTAAAAACTTTTTTGTTTGTTAATTTGTATAATATCGTTACATATGTTTGTTTATAATCTTTATAAAACTTCACAAGTATTTTGTATTTTAAAAATGTAGAAAAAAGTTTAAGTAAAAAAGTTGTCGGTGGTTGAACTCAAACAACGGCTTTTTTGCTCAGAAGCTCAGCACGCTAACTACTCAGCGATGCTGGCACGTTGATATTATTAGTTTTGAAACTATATAAAAAAATTTTATAACAAAAATTAATGCTGTAGATCAAAAATTAGGGAAGCGAAGGTAAAAATATAAAACTTCATAAGTGTTTTAGCATGTTTTAAAATTACATAGTTTGAAGTTTACATGCGCTAGATATTTGCATACACTTTTGTTCATGTTTTCTAATAAATAAAAGTTGCTGCAACTCTTTCTCGACATTACCTCGGTTGCAATACGAGTTCTGTATCAAACAGGCTCAAAAGGGCACTATTACTACTACTCTTACTACTACTACTACTACTACTACTACTACTACTACTACTACTACTACTACTACTACTACTACTACTACTACTTTTATTACTACTACTACTACTACTACTACTACTACTACTACTACTACTACTACTACTACTACTACTACTATTACTACTACTACTACTACTATTATTACTACTACTACTACCACTACTACTACTACAACTACTACTACTACTACTACTACTACTACTACTACTACTACTACTACTACTACTACTATTACTACTATTACTTCTATTAAGTTCAGTATTATTATATAGATTTTGCATTCGTATGCATCACCAATACAGTAATACAGTAATGAAATTCTTTGTGAATTATTTATTATTGATCTGAAATCTCAATTAAATTTTTCACAAACAAAAATAAATGAAAGTCTTAATTGACACCCAATAGGATTTTTGCAGTTACCGCTTAAACTACAAATGCCTTTTTCATGACATTTTATATTTTATTGATATTATATTATTATATCCAGCTTAAATTACAAAGTAAATTAAGACTACAAAACTCAAAATACAAAGAACTTGTATACTTTATACTTTCCTTAATTACAACTATCATGTTCTCAATTACATTTTACGATTTCTTATTTACAACCCTAAAGTCATCTTAATAATTGAATCGTCACATGCTAAATGGACCTCAATCAAAAAGTACATAAATTTTGTTAGTGATGAAAAAAGCACCTTGAAAGATTGCTATGTCCTAAAAGGTTCTCAGCCACATTCACTGGTGGCATAGATAATGGCCACTAAGTTATGGTGTTAGAAGGGCTTCAGTCAGTGACTGAAGCCCTTTTAGCACATGAGTTAGCAACACTGCCGTCTGTTAACTATTGCACAGTGTATTTCCTCAGCTGTCTGCTACATCATTTTATTGCTTATTCAGTCAATGTCTTGCCATAACCTATAATTTGGTTCCAGAAACGTGTTTTGTACTTTTGTGGATTTCGAAACGTTACCTTATTATTGTTGACTGTTTTATAAAAGTAATTGATGAAGGATAATGAGAACAACGTCGGTAAAAAACGAAAAGGAAACAAAAATTTATGGAAAAGGAACGTGTTGAAAAGATGAAAGAGTAAGACATGATGAGTTTAATGCTGCAAGAGGAATCATTGTTCCTAAAAAGACAACAGGTAATGCATGCAGGTAAGATTACACTACATAATATTAGGCTAATTAGGCCAGCCAATTTAGCAAATTATTAGTCCTAAAAAAGGCGTATACTGTATAGATTTACGTATTATAGAGCTATTATATTAATATCTATTTTATTAATTTATTGATTCTAGCTTTTATAGCTATTGAGAGGCGACAAAAATAAGCAATAATTACACCTGCCAAGTTTAATAAACATCTTAAATTTTATTTTTTTTAATTTGAGCCCTTAATAAATGTAGCAAAGAATGTAACCTTTATTTATTGCATTGTTTCAGTTGTTTCAGTTGTAAGAGGGAAAGTCTTGTTTTATTATCGTAGTGTTTCAGTTGTAAGAGGAAGAGCTGCTTTGACATGGTGACATAGAAAGAACAAGAAGAAATCTTAAGACATTTTTGCACTCTCATAGACTCAATCGTGGCACACACATTCGAACTAAAACAACCTGGAATTAGTGAAGTAAACTTACCCATTGCGATTGCTTATCCACTTGATAAAGTGCCAATCAAAGATGAAAAAATCAAAAACTTTCAAAAGTTGCTGCAATACATTTCCGAGGAATATCTCCAGTTCTACAACGAAATCTTGGAATGGAACAAAATTTTTGAAGGAGACGCTTAACACAACAGCAGCAAAGAAAATGATTGAGAACTTTTTTTAACATTTTAATTCTCAATAAGTTAGTCTTTAACGTACATACGTACTTGTATTGACAAAATATTTTTAATTAAAGTAAAAAAAGACATGCTGTAAGGGCCACAGTCAAGCACTTTTACCATTATTTTTTCATAGAATAAAAAGTTTTGAAAAACTAGGCTCATTTGTAATAAATCAAACTATTTTAGTACTAAATTTTAACAATTTTTATAAAAAGAAATGTTAAGCCATTTTTGGGTTAAACAATTTTTTCTTTCTCAAAACCAGTTGACTTGGACTATGGCCCTTTTAGCATTTGCGAATTTAATTGATGCTAATGTATTGCTACCAACCTCCCAGCGGGAACACGACGTTATATTAACGTTTTATTTACGTTAGATTTTATGTTAGTACAACGTTGCCGGTTTGGTAAAATGGAAAGGTTTTGTAACGTAAAAATCTTACGTTAAATTTACGTTAGATATTAACGTAATTATTAACGTAAAATTCTAAAGTTAGATTAACGTTATACTAACGTAAATACAAGATGGAAAAACATTGGCGTTTTATATTAACGTAAAATATTAATTGTAAGTGTAGTATTTAATCTTAATACAGCTATAGTTATATTTATATAACTCTGAGCCGAAGCCCTTTATACGCGGCTTCATGACATATCATATAAATATAACCGTATATATTAACATCAAATGTTAAACACAACTACAATCAATACTCAAAGATAATATAATGGTATTAAACCTCATACAAAAGATTAGAAAAATAGCTTTTGGGATATTCAAACTAAAAATACAACAAATGTATTTAAAGATTTTTTTTAAAGATGTATTATGTATTCTTTTTGTATTATAAATTTACAAAAAACTCTAATTAAATAAATAATTGTTCAATAAAGCGAACTTTAAAATGCTTCCTATTTGATCTTTTGTTTTCTTCCGTCGAACTC